CATGTCGGACTGACACGAGATCTGATGTGTGACATCGTGACTTACATCCCTAAGCCTGTACTCACTCTGGATTGCTGCACAGAAGAGATCGTTCTCAACATCGGGGGAATGCCAAACTTCATCTTCACCAATGATGGTGTCGTCTTTGGTATATTCCAGTGCGGATCGTCTGTGGTCCTCCAACCGATATTTCCCTCAGGGAGAGGGATCACGCTAATGCCAGAATTATCATTTTTCCCCAACGTGACACCGAACACCAAAACACTGTTCTACTATGCTGCTCATACAAGGCATCTCTACATTCTCAGACCTGCCCACTTCCCATCACCGGTGTATTTCCTGTTTGCCTATAATGTCGAGGCGAACGAAGTGAGAGCCTTTGGTAAAATTCCCGAGGTTTCTTCCGTTGAAACTTTCCCAACTCATATGGTGGTCATAGAGGATGAAATCTTTGTGGTTGTGAGCCGGTCAGGCCGATCCGAGATCTGGCATACGGTGTTAGGAGCGTCCCAGAAGGTTATCTTGATTTGGTCTGCGAAAACAAGTGGCAATCGTGACGAAGTCCTCAGCCTGGTCCCTGGTTTTGCATCACCTCAGACTACTACCTTGAGCGTTGTCATTCTCGACGCATCCGTTACATATACATTCGCATTGGAGAGGGTCAGATCTACATCCCCGACTGTGTTCAAATCGACAAAAAGGAGACCCCTGGCCAATGGAGCCACGTGCTCGGTGGCTCGAACTTTTTTCGCCAAACTAAAAGGAGTGGTCAGTATTTCCTCATTAGTATTCAGCCGGAGTTCGTGTCCGATGACTTTTGCTTGCCGAATCCGTCATATGCCACTTGTCCGGCGGCATGCGATCGTGCTGGGAATATCTACTTTGTTGTTGAACGGTCCTCTAGAAGTGGCTATCAGAAAGCGCCGCTATCCATCGGCTTTATTGACGAACCTCCGGTATGCAACTCATGGTTGAGGGGGAACGGTCGGTATCTACAGAATGGTGGAGATGGGAGTGCCACTGGAAGCCGACCGGGGTCATCCACTCGATGGCAAAAGACTGTGCGTATATCTGACAAGCGGCCGGTATATACTTTAGGGCAGAAGCTCGCAACTACCACTGGCAACGGACCGGGACCAACTCCGTGGTGTAGACCTGTGACTACCACTGGCAACGGACCGGGACCAACTACATGGCGTAGACCTGTGACTACCACTGGCAACGGACCGGGACCAACTACATGGCGTAGACCTGCAACTACCACTGGCAACGGACCGGGACCAACTACATGGCGTAGACCTGCAACTACCACTGGCAACGGACCGGGACCAACTACATGGCGTAGACCTGCAACTACCACTGGCAACGGACCGGGACCAACTACATGGCGTAGACCTGCAACTACCACTGGCAACGGACCGGGACCAACTCCGTGGTGTAGACCTGTGACTACCACTGGCAACGGACCGGGACCAACTACATGGCGTAGACCTGCAACTACCACTGGCAACGGACCGGGACCAACTCCGTGGCGTAGACCTGTGACGACCACTGGCAACGGACCGGGACCAACTCCGTGGCGTAGGCCTGCAACTACCACTGGCAACGGACCGGGACCAACCACATGGCGTAGACCTGCAACTACCACTGGCAACGGACCGGGACCAACTCCGTGGTGTAGGCCTGGGACTACCACTGGCAACGGACCGGGACCAACTACATGGCGAAGAACTGGAGGTACCTTTGAGAAGCGACCGGTATATCCACCATGGCTTGGGCCTGGTAAAACTCCTCAGCAACCTCCTGTCGTCGACCCTCAAGGTCGCCCCCAGGCATCATATTCCGAATCCGAACGTCGAGTGGTATGCCACTACTACCTAGTACGAGCATCTCCTTATCTACACTTATGAGGGGATCGTTCTTCCTCCAAGGACAGATGCTGCAATCATCATCGTTTTTTTAGCATTTCTAGCTGGGTGTTAGCTGTCGTTAGGTTTGTGTAGTCTCATGATTTCTGCTCATGTCTCTGTCGAGTTGATGACGCTCTAACTCGACTGAACTTTCCGAGGCTGAAAACTTCCCTCGATCGGCCTTTCAGTCCGCCCCTAGTCGATGCCTGTTTGTGATCTCTATTCTCGACGAGATAGGATCCTCTAAATGCCTGCAGTTCTTGTTGATCCTATAATGCTTCAACGGTTCCTATGGGGCATGCGAGCGCGTATGGGCGCAACTGCATTTACAGGTCAGTGAATTCACCCCATACTCCATTGAAGTGGCCTCATTGAGGGACGTTGACCTCGTCTCGTCTTAGGTGCGGCAGCACTAGGCCTGAGCGTGCTGTTTCTACCAGTTGGAGTTTTGAAGGAACGAGACAGTGGGCCCTCCAACTCTGTGAAAGAATCCGTCTGCTACGCCCTGCCGATGCTCCCCGCTTTCTACTTCCACCTCAACTACAGCCTCCATCCTGTTTGGGTAGGCTTGGCTCTACTGAGAGGCTCTGCTTATTATTCTCCTCAGTCTCTACCAATACTCTACCTTGCTGGATGGGTCGGCATGATGAGTGGTCAAGCGCTGGTCGTGAGCGATTCAACAATGAGAAACGCTGAGAAGAGTTCATAAAATGTTCCAATAGTCGTTTCTTATTTCGATAGTGTATTTGTTACTGTTCATTGGGCTCTCTTGGAACGAGTAGGAGCTGTGCTGAAACAACACATGAATATCTGATCTCAAGTCTGTGGAGGAGCGCTTGACAGCGACCTAATGCTGGTGTTTTGCCCCATAGAGCATCACTACCACTTACCACGTACGGCTCCTCAGTATACTATTGATGACCATGATCCGGCCCGACAGTCGGCATGATCAGAGCCCTTCTAGGGAATCAGCCGTCGTCGTCGATCATGGTGATGATGTCGTGAGTTACCCAAGACGCAGTTCCCAAGTGTATACTCCTAACTACTCAGCCCTGCACTCACTGTGGCCTCACATGTTGGTGTGATGGTGATGAAATACTCCTATGCGATGGACCGGGATGTTCCAACGCATACCATCTGAGGTCCTCTAGCCTTCCCCGTGGGGAGCACAGGCTTGGTGTATCAGATGCACTCGGCCGATACTCCAGTCGGTGCCGACTACTACGTGGTACTGCCCATCGTGCACTTCGGAGCAGTCGAGTAGTACTCCGGTGACCGAGGAAGAACCGAGTCAGTGAACTAACATGGCGTCTTATCATACTATGATGATCAGGTGATGACATGGATGTAGCTTGTGAAGAATGTCACATTCGATGGTGGGACGAGGGGAACGAAATAATCCTCTGCGCGCGGTGGGTCTTCCCGTTATTGATAATCTTGGGAGAGCATGGCACGCAGGTACGAATCCCACGGCTGTCGTGTGGGGTGTCATCTTAAATGCCATCGGCCGAAGCTCATTGAAATACCAAAGGGTGACTGGTAAGGCCTCATGTCTTGTCTGTCACCACCGAATGAGTCTCCCATCGTAGGTTCTGCGCCGAGCATGCTCCTGGTGGAGGAGCTCGGCCAAATACGGAGCGAACAGTCACCGTCCATCTGCCCCCAGGGGCGAAAGGGACGTGTTTGAAACCCAGTCGGGCTTGGTTAAAAGGCCATTGTGGAGATGCAGGGCAACCCATCTGGTGAAATCAACAGAAACCTGTGGAGCAATATCTGCTACAGGGATGCTGGTTTCATGAACGAGTGCACCATATGTGGTCAGTGGTTCTCGCGAGGTGGCTACCTCGAGCATGCGAAGTGTGACACTCCCATTAAGCCAACTGATGGTATGATGAGCTGCTAAGTTCTCGAGACGAGGTTGTGTCTTAGGCAACCGCTTGGCGAACGGTGAGATGACGAATTCACTCGTTGAGTGGGAACCAGGATACCCCGGGTATCCTGGTAAGTCACAGTAGTTGCCAATGAGTGTTAGAGAAGCCTCACTCATAGGAATTGCGAAGCATGCTTTCCTTCGTATCAACACCAGCCTGTGTCGCCCGCTGCGTAGCATGTCCCCATGTGAGGCCAGGTCGATGCTGCGGCAGCATGGTAAGAATAGGCAGTT